GAATGCCATGCATTTGTATTCGTGCCTCTCTTAGTCATGGCTTCATGTAATTTCAAGAGCTTATTCTAACTCAGGGATAGGGGAATGATATGAAACATGACTGTCCAGCCACATAGAACGTCAGTGCTTCGATGTATACTCACAATGTGAGATCAGATTATTGCTGAGATAGAAAATAGTTGGGGAGCCTTCTGCAGAAATACACGCTATTAAGTCTTTTACCAAGGAATTTAAGAAGAGAAATAAAAGCTTCCCTGAAGGTCTCTTACATGCCATGTCCTCCTCAGTCTCCTCCCTGCTTATTTGGAGCAGTGTTGCCAGGCAAACATGAAAGTGGGAGAACCAAGCCCAGACTGGTCAGCTGCCAAGTGCTGGGGCCTCTGACTCAAGCTTGGACAGCTATAGGGATAATTAAAATTCTCCCTGTGCTCACTTATATTCCTGTAAATCTTTTTTGTTGAATCTTTACAACAAAGTAGGATGGCTGTATGGGAAATAAATACACTCAAGCCCTGAAAAAATACAGCTGTAGTCTTAGGTCAGCTAATCAGCTAGACTTCTGCAAGGTTTTATTTTAGTTTAGGGATAAGCCTTCTCCCACCTCTGATTATTTTAAACATTAAGCATTGATGTATGGAACAGAAATGTGTCAGCATGATGGACATCTTTTGTTTGGTCCTTAAGGCAGCGTTCATTAATAGCAGCTGTACAGATCAGCCCGTGCCGTACGGAGTCTATCATGCGGGACATCCTGGGTTTGCTCTGAGAGGCAAAAGCATTCACGCACTCACTCTGTCCGGCCGTGCTGCCACCACACCTCTGCTGTCACAGTGCTGTCGATGCTGCAGTTACCCAAGAGGCATTTACTAACAAAATGCAGAGCATCCTCGGTGTTTTAGTCATGTGTTTTGCATTCCTCTGTGTCCAGTTAGAGGTGTGAATCCCCATCCTTCCCTCGAACGTTCTTTCATCTGGGGTCAGTGCTGGAAGGCTGTTGGTATACAAGCAAACCTGCCAAAACCAACGCTGCTTGGGTTGCGTTGCACAGGGGTGAACTGCGCCGTCAGCAGCAGGAGGAGAGGCTTTGCAGGGGGCCGGCGGGGTTCGCACCCTCCCCAGCACTGCCAGGGCTCGGGGTGGGGGAAGCACCAGAGCCTCAAGGGAGGCTGGAGGCCAGCGGGCTGGTGGGGAGAGTCGGTGTTACAGCAGACGGAAGGAACAACAACCATAAAAGAAGGAAAGCTGGGTGGACTTCTCAGGACTGCTGGCCGGGCTGCCGGCAGCCCCATGCACTGCTGTGTGGATGGTCAAGGTTTGATAATTGGCTCAGGTGCGAGCTCCCAGGCTGGCAAGATAAGCAGCGCTCTGTGGATCCTGTAACTACAGCTGCTCAGGAGGGAAAGGGCTGTGCAGTGCTCTCGAGGGAGCGCTCACAGTGGTGTTTCCCTATTTGCTGTCACAGAAGGAAGGCAGGCACCCCAGAGCACAAGTTATGTTCTGCCTCTTTTAGCAGCTCCCAACTGTCCGCCTTCACTCACGGAACATACCACAGAGACACTTTGTCCTTACCACAGACATAACCCAGAGGAGCTCTGTCATGCAAAATTGATCCCCCAAATCAATGAAATATGTGTGTGTTTGAAGAGGTGAGATATTTTTATGATCTTGCTGGATCAGACTAGCAGTGCAATAGCATTTTATAGTTAGGTGCATATAGCATAGTAATTAAAGAGCCGTTTCTGTGAATGTTATGGTAATGTTGGCGAGTTAAGTGGTGGGAATTGCATATAAGTTTTCCGTTCTTAAATTTGTTATAAAAAATACCCATAGTCAATCGAATATATTTATGTTGTACCAGAGATTTTTTTTGCTACTAGAACTAAACAAACCAGAGTTTGATTTCAGATTGTTTTGACGTGACCATGTACTGCAGTTCCGTGGGTCATTTGCCACATCAAGAAAATGCAACAAACCTCTCACAGATTGAATTCTTCTTTTCTTTTTTCTTGTCCTTCCACAGATCCTTAGAATTTGCACAAGATACACACCAGAACAAGATACCATGACCTTTTCAGATGGCCTTACGCTAAACCGAACTCAGATGCACAATGCTGGATTTGGCCCACTGACTGATCTTGTGTTCACGTTTGCCAACCAGCTCCTGCCCTTGGAAATGGATGATACAGAAACAGGTCTCCTTAGTGCCATCTGCTTAATCTGTGGAGGTATCGTACAGCATGAACTCGGATGCGTTTGAAAAGGACAGACATGATAAGATCTTAATTTATGTTTTACTTGTTTTACTTTACCTGTACCAAAACACATCTATAAAAAAATATTATTATTATATATGTTATATAAACCACTTAACACTAAAGGTTTGTTCTCCACAGGTGATAGTTACTGGTTTTATTACTGATATTTTTTAAATTAATTGAATCATTCTATCAAGCAAACAATCCGATTGTTTGCCTGTTAAAGGACTACAGGATATATCCTGTTGCAATTTTTTATACGCAGTGTATGGGGTACTTGTATGAATGGCCTTTGTTTACAGCCAGATACCTGTTATGCAGCTTTTACTCATAAATAAAATTGTTTGTGTGTAGTTAATATTCATACAAGGAGTCATTGGTCATAACTTTCTTAGGAAAAAAAAATAGATTATACTTCAAAATTAGCATAGTGGCACTGATGACATGATTGGGGTGGCTGTTTACATCTGGAAAGGGACATTGTCAAGTAAAATCATGTTTTTTAAATACAAAAAGCAAAGTCTCAGATCATTTCCAAAATCCTCTGCGAACTTCTGTTACTTTAGTCCCCTAGTCCCTCTTCTCCTTTGCAAAATCTGGACTAGCAATAGAAACATGTCTTATATTGTTGAAATACAAACTCAATGCTTTTAGAGAATGTTTAAAAAGCAAGAGTCAGTCTTTGTTGACAGTGCCCCTTTAGTACAAAATCCTTCCGATTTGATGTGTCTCTAACCATAACCCATCAAAAGCATTGATGGGTTCTGGGATGTCATTAACACATGGCTGGTGCATTTATGGGTGACTGTTGTCACTCAAGCTAGCACTGCCATCTGCTGACACCTGATGGTAACTCACTTTATTTTAGTATTGATATAAAAATAAATTAGCTGTAATCTCTTTGTGGATGTAGGTATCTTATCAATGACACATCATACAAAATTAATTCTGAAATATTGTTTCCAGCAAGGTGTCTTCCCTTGGAGAGGGAGACACAAGAGCAAAGTGGTAATTCTGGACCACTCAAATGACAAACCTTTCCAGTCACCATGGAAAATGAATTGAAGTTTTAGAAAGCCATGGTTTGTCCTTTTCCCACAGAATATTCACTACAGAGTGTGGGTCATAAGTGGAGAAAAAGATGAAAGTAATGGAGGAGCTTCTGTGATTTGGAGTTTGTCAGCAAAAAATATTTAAAATCATATGAGTGATATACTTTTCTACAGATCGCCAGGACCTTGAAGAACCAACGAAAGTGGATAAGCTTCAGGAACCGTTGCTTGAAGCACTGAAAATTTATATCCGAAAGAGACGACCCAACAAGCCTCATATGTTCCCAAAGATCTTAATGAAAATCACAGATCTTCGTAGCATCAGTGCAAAAGGTACAGTGTCTCCCAATAATTCAGCAATAGCATCAGCGTTACATTTCAGAGGAAACTGGCCTACAGACCTGGGTGGTTAATGTTTTAATATATCTGAGAAAGGCCCTTGTGCCCTTTCTCTTCCCTTCTTCTGTATGTAACTCCTGTGCTTAAATCGATTCTGCTTTAAATGCACATGGTGCTACATTCTTCATGCAACTTACAGTGACAGTGATGTCTTAGGTGTAAGTAGGTTAGCAAATCATTAACATAAACTCATTGTTAGTCAAGTTAAGACAAGATAAAACCCAGAATTAAACCTTCGTTAATGTTTACAAGGGGGTGCAGGTCAGCATGTACTTTGTATCACTAATGACTTTCAAAAAGCAAAGTCTGTTTACAGACAGCAGAAAACACTTGTGCATGAAAAAATACCCCTAGACTGCAGTCTGACGTACTGAAGATTTATAATTGATTTGATCCAGGATTTTGGAGATTCAGCACCACTAATCCAAATTAACTGTGCTTACACATGGATCAGTTGTGGTTTAACATTTATGTAGTCTTTATGTGATTGACTGATCACATGAAATACACAGAGTCTAAACACTGTCACATAAATTCTCTAAAGCTTGGGTATAGTTGAATGCTTCCATTTCATCAGAGAGGTCCCTCCCTGCTCCATGCTTTGGCCCTTGAGGGGTACAGCCCAGGGTGAGCTGGGCAGCGGTTCTTGAAGTACCAGGAGACAGTCAGCAGTGCTCATTAGCAGCCTCTGTGCATGCCCGTTCTGCCCTGGGCTGTGGCTGCTCCTTTCGTTTGTGTACCCCCGTATCTCCCCAAGCCCCGGTTTCATAGATGTTCACCTCCAGACTTCTGGGGAGCTGTATAAGAGCTGGACCAGCTTGAGTACCGAGAGTCTGAAGTGCTACAGTTCTTACTTTTTACAGTGGTTGCTGCAGTTCCACTCTCTTTTTATGCTTGTCCAACTACAGATTTGCTACCCCCGATAGATAAGCAACCACATGAGCTTTTATGTACAGGTACCCATGTAGCTATAGATTGGATTTATGGCTTTGAAAAAATTTCATTTGGCATGCTTTTTGAGAAGACTTCAGGGGAAAAAACCTAGCAGTTAAATCACTCCAATAAAAACACTTGTTTTACATTAGAACCTGAACTGTTACACTTTAAACAACATATATCTAAGTTAAAAGATTAAGCTATAGACATGTTTTTATAAAAAGAAGTGAGCAATTTAATTGGATTGATTAGTACCAAAAGAATAAAGGAAGGGAACGGAAACACCAGGGCCGGAAGAAAAAGTATCCTAAAAGGAACCACTTATCAGGTTATCTAAAGTTTGCAATTTACGCTCAAGTAAAGCAAGCTCCCTCTAACTGAATCTACAAAATGAACTTACAGCAGTACTGAGCTATAAAAATGTTTAGGGGAGCCCTTTCCTTCAACTGTTCTTGCTGGTGGGAAATCTATTTCCACTTTCCTGCTTCTTTGCCAGAGCCCTCCAGCCCCTCAAGAACATGGCTCTGTCTCTTTATGTTCAATGCACAAGAAAGGATCCTTCTTCCATTCTGACAAAAGTATTTAACTTTAATTATATCATTAATGTTTTGTAGTAGAACTAAATCATACCAAAGGACTGGTGATGTCCTGGAGGGGAGGTGTGTCTTGAGTTTCATTTGAAAATATGCATATTAGAAGATAATGACTTTTGATGGTACATGACCCCTGAAAGCAATTGCCAAAGTAAGCATGAACCAAAAAGACCGAAAATGTCTCCTTATGCTAGAGTTCCTTATACAGCTATGTTCTGCCGTGGCATTGTAAGTATTGTAACTAAAGCAGTAAGCGTTCATGGGACTGAAGGAAGAGACCATCGTCTGAGTTCTCTTACCCAGTATTAAACTGGAAGTTTGCAAGACCTGAAAAAATGACTGTAGCTCTACACCAGAATAACCACACAAACACTTGATGTTGCAGCTGAGCTGCGTAACAGCAGAAAGCAGGTCGTGAATGGACCAAATTCAGTTCCTAAGCACTGCTCTGACTACAGATGGTTTCAGAGAAGATCTCAGCATAATTCTGCATTAATTTATTTCCAATTATACTGCTTGCCTTTTTGTTCCTAACAGTTATATAAGAAACTTTTTAATCAGCATTCACTTGGAAAGTTGGTCATTGCCTTTGTAGATGATTTTTGAAGCTCCTTGGTTAAGGCATGAACACAACCCCCTCTGGGGTTACCCCTGTGGCTGCCAGCATGCTCTCTCCACACATGCACTGCATCAGCACAGATAAGCAGGATTTATCCAAATGTTCTCTGCTCTGGAATGCGTCTTCAATAACCAGGCTATTTTCTCTTCAATTTTTGTCTCTTCTTGCCTTCCTTTATATTTAAAAAGCACAGATTCCTATTCCATTAGACTCAAATTTTAATATGATGAGGAATCCTATGCAATGTTAGACCAGATATTTGAATGCTCAGGTTTGTGGCTATAATTGACTGACATTGTCCTGATAAGAAAAATCTTTTTCTCATCAGCAGCAAAATATGTAAAGCACATTCATGCCTCAGCATGGAACAGAATCTTTACTGTATTACTCTCACGTTATTTGAGGTGTAATTCCAAAGCACTCCTGTCTTTATGGTCCTTGCCACTCAGTAACCCAGTGTTTAACTCACTTCCAGGCCTTCAAATGTATCACTTCTTCACAACAGAATGTTGCCCTTAAGTAGTGAAGTTGTGTTAGTGTCACTGCTGCTGTTCAGGGCTCCCTGAACGCTGCTTGCCTACCCCTACGAGCAGCAGCAGGGTAGGGCAACCGCAGCAGCCAAGCCCTCCTGCTTTACAGATCAGGCTTCTCCCGGTAACAGCCTTTCTTTTCACCAAGAAGTTTTGTCCATCCAGCATTTAAGGATTCCGCTTTGCAGGAACCTATTAATCCCTCAGAGTTTGCTGCTCAGGGTCAGACACGGTATGAGCTATTTTTTTAAATGCAGGCTTCCACCCGTGCTGTCCCACTGCACACTAACAGAGCACAGCGCTTCCTGGGAGCACCCAGCTGATGGCATGTGCAAGTTACGAGTGAACTGTGCGGCATCTGCCTGCTCATAACAGTCTTCCCGCTACACCTGCCATGTTCAAGCAGCCTTAACATCTTAGGAGTATCAGGTGCTTTTTTTTTTCCCCCCCTAAACTAGTATTAGTTGTTGGCTCCCAGTCTGAGTAGTCAGGATTTATGTAGTAATTTTGTTTAATCCTACACACAGTAGCCTGCAAAGCCATCTCTGTGTAAAAAATACCCGTTGTTATGCTTGACAAGGCAAAACACTAAACAGTTAAGAAGTCAGGTGTAAACGGTATTAGTGTTTCTGTGTACTTTTGTGGTTAATTAGCACAAAAGAAGCTGCCTGAAAACTACAGAAGGCAGCTTCACAAAAAAAAGTATCCATTTGCCTGGACTTGTTCTTTTATAAAACAATTGTTTGTTACTATATGGGAAAGAAATGTACTGACTTAGATCGCTGCAGTTCTCTTCCAGGATTCGCCTCACCTATTTAACACAAATCAGCCAGAATTTTTGTATTTCTATAGTCTTTGCAGATCCAGTACAGATTAAAAACTGTAAAGTGTATTCCAATTTAGATCGTATTTTTTCAGTATCATTTAATGCTGTTTTCTTTCCTTCCATGAAAAGAAGCAATTTATCCAATTTACCTGTATTGTAATATCAGTTGCTATCTCATAATGTTAAATTAATTTGTTAACAAGTATTCATCTAACTCCTTTATTTTGTAATGAATAAAGTAGTTTGCTTATGTAATTTTGTGTGTAAGCAGTATAGAAGGAGACACCAAATCCATTAAAATAACCTACCCTGAAATTACTACTGCTGATGCTAACAAAAAGGAAATCGTACAAACCATACTGATGGAAAGGACTTTTTGTTTTCTTTTTAAAGGTGCAGAACGTGTCATTACATTGAAAATGGAAATTCCTGGATCCATGCCACCTCTTATTCAGGAAATGTTGGAGAACTCTGAAGGACATGAACCACTGACACCAACCTCAAATGGAAATACTGCAGAACACAGTCCCAGTATCTCGCCTAGTTCAGTGGATAACAGCAGTGTCAGTCAATCCCCTCTGGTGCAATAAGACATTTTCCAGCTACTTCAGACATTCCTAACACCTTATGTACAGGGATGAAAAGCAAGAAAAACATTTTTACTGCTGCTTAGTTTCTGGACTTGATATATATCTATATATGTGTATATATATAGATAAAAACTCAACAAGGACCAAGAAATTTTCATATGTATCGATATATACTCCTTGCTGTTTAAACTCTTAAACCTAGAAAATGCAAACTTTTGAAACTTTAAATCAGCCATTTCATGCAAAAAAATAGTTAAGCTTCTGTTTTCTCCTCTGAACATTCAAGATTGCATGGTGACAAGACAGTTCTCAAACTTTAAATTCTGGTTGCATTTCTGATGACTTTGTACATACAAATGTATGGCTGTACTTTCTATACTGGATGTTTGGTGCTTTCCTTTTGTCTCTCATACCTAAACCGATCAAGACACCAACCATATGAAACAGACTACTGTACACATCCAGAAAAGGAAGTTTAAAGGACCATCTGATTTAGTTTAATATGAAAACTTGCCTCTGATGCCCTCAGTTAGCATCTCCTTCCTTGTAAAAAGTATACAAAAATTCACTGCACTAGCAGAAAAGACATCAGTATCAGCATTAACTGCCAGATCAGTTATTCAGATGTCATTTGTTCCACTGTTAAATGTCACTTTAAAATTTAAAGAAGTTGTTTCTTACCTGGCTGGTGACCTAGCTACACAATTAACTATTACATTTCTACAGTAATGATAGCCTTCAAGGCAGAAACACTTTTCAGTGTTACCATGTTTTTGTTTACTTGTTCACAAGCCATTAGGGAAACTTCATGGGATGATAACGCATTTACAGCTTTTGAATTGGCGAGGCTAGGGTAGTTCCTTAAGGATCGACTGCCAGGAATGAGCTGGGTTGTCCAGCCTTCCAGGCACTAGGGAAGTACAGTGAGGACTTCCAGAAACACAAGGAGAGAATCTGCCTTCTTGGCCTTGTTAAATCACCATGAAGCAGAGTGAAAACTGTGGTAGAATGGTTAACAGATTTAAAGTGTCAGTTTCTTAGGTTTCATTTAAAGCACTAGTGGATTTTTTTTTTTTTTTTATATATTCTAGCAAGTCTGTGATGTACTTTCACTGGCTCTGTTTGTACATTGAGATTGTTTAACAATGCTTTCTATGTTCATATACTGTTTACCTTTTTCCATGGAGTCTCCTGGCAAAGAATAAAATATATTTATTTTAAAAAAAAACCTAACTTTGTAGAAGTAGTCCCTCTAGTCAAAATTTTACACACACACGGTAGTTTTCCATTTTTTTTAATGTTTAAACTTCATTTCAAAAAGCAGGTTTGCTGTTTGCAACCATGACAATTAAAATGTGCTTTAGCACAGCTGTCTAGAACATCTCTACAAGCCAGTCAGACAAATACATGACATTTCAATGAGTAAAAAAGAGCGTAAAACTGTAGGTGTAAGAACAAAATGTTAAAATGCCTACACACAATAATAAAAACCATCAATTACATTATCACATAAAATAAGTCAAATGTACAAAAGTTTGCGACAGAAGGGACAAAAGGACAACACAAGATATTTGTTGGAAAACATTTGTGTGCTCTTTGGGCACTTAATTAAACATATCAAAATCATCATCTTCATCAGACTCTGCAAAATATTTAACTTCTTTTCTAGCCCGGCCTGTCCGTGGCTTTGGGGCAGTTTCGGTGGCAAAGCCTGACTGAAAGATTTCCACATCAGAATCCTGGTCAAAAGCAGCCTTCTTGGGTTTCTTTAGAAAAGGAAAGACAAATCAGTTGTGATGCTGTGTACATTTTCCCTTTTAATATTCAGAATTGAAGGAAACCTTCTCTAACATCTAACTTGTAAAACCACCTAAACCCCCATTATCATATTAGCAATCTAGAATAGGAACAGGTACCTTTTATGTAAAGTACTCCATTAGGTTCTTTTTCACAAGGAGAAAAGAGCACAGAAGGAACTGACCTTGCTTGGTGTTGATTTAGGCGTTTTCTTCCCAGGGTTGTATTCACCTTCATTTTCTGAACTGGATGCTTTCCTTTTCTTTGCACCTCTACCTTTTCCTAGGTGAGAGAAGATGATTTAATTTTGGTTTTTGTTTCTTTTTTTTTTTTTTTTTTAATAGAACTCCAGGGTTTAGCAAACTGAAAAGAACGGGTGAAATTAGTAATTTAGTTTACATGTTGAAGTTCAAATTTAGTTTAAAACTCAAGCTTCTTCACAACAGCAGTAAAATACAATATATTTTATTTTCTCTGTTTTAAATATTTTATACTTCTTCCAAAATTACCATTCCCCCTAGCAATTCAAGCTGTCTGTTAGTTCAAGACAGGGACAGACTTCATTAGATGAATGACTTCTAGACTTCTGAAGTACTACAAGTCTTCAGTCACCTTCTGTACTGATTTCACAGCATTAATTCACCCTTACTATTTAGTAAATTCACTGTTAACCTCAGCTATCAACACTGGCAGATCCTTTACAGACTCTTCTGATTACACCACTTGGTGTGTTGTGAGACAGTGAAAACTGAGAACGGTGACACCAAAGAATTGGTTAAAAAAAAACCCAACCAAACAAAAAACAGTACTTAAATAGGATTACTACCAGAAGTTTACTGTCTTGTAGAAAAATGATATCAAAGAAAATAAGCAGTACCCAGTACAACTGATGAACAGAACAAATTATGATAGTAGGAAAAAAAAAAGGGGGGGAGGGGGTTGGAGCTATTAAAGACATTCCCAACAGTGAAGGTCAGATTTAAAAAAAAAAAAAAAAAAAAAAAAAGTTCACACACTGTCAAGAAGTCAGTACAGTGTATTTATCACAGAAAAGGCTCATGTCTGAGTAACCTATTAGTGATTAATTTACTGATAAATCATTGTGGAATTTCAGGGACACTAGCTCTGCTTCCTGATAAACCTGTGTTACAGAGAGCACAGATGTGAGTGTTGAGCAGCATGCCACCAAATCTCTCACCTTTGGGTGCTGCAGTCTTCTTTG